ATAAATCTGGCACGCAATTGATACTGCATTAGAAATGACTGACTGCACTGCAAAAAATTCGTTCACCAAAAATTCCTGTAGCGGTTAGAAAAAATCCAGAAATTATTTTTAAAATCCCGGCCACTTTACAGTCATTATTGCTGTTTTACTTATCGATCATTTACTGAAGAAACACCAAAACAAAAAGACAGAGATTGAAATGAAGCTAAGCCAATTATACAAAAGCACAAAAGGAGCAGCCGTTTCTTCTCCTGTTGAAAATATGCCGGATTTTTGGGACTGCTAGATCAGTCCAAGGACTCCTGCTAATTATGGCTAATATGTCACTTAAAATAGCAAAAAAAAATCACTTGTACGGGTGCTTTCCTTTCAAAAATTTGCCGAAATCGTAACCCACTTGCGTGAAAACTTAAACCATTTTAGCAATTTTTGAATTGATGCTACCGACATTTTCCACATTCAAGTGATGAATAAAAAGCAGCGGCGCAAAGCCAAAAATCAGTGCAATTACGCATTTTGTGCAGCTCTTTCCAGCTGTGTTAAACAGATTGCAGCAACTTCTTGCTTGCACTTTTACGTCACCATAAATAAAAGCTGTTTAATTCATACGTGAAAGTTAGATCTGAATTTCTGCTTATTAAATGCAGTAGAATAAATTCTGAGTGTGGAATAAATTGCAAGTTCTTGGTTTTTTCCAAAAAAATTTCTCGAATTTTTTTCCCAAAATTTCAGCTTCTAAGTTATTTTGATCGCTGAGTTGGAAACCCTGGATGAAAATCGAGCGCATAAATACACACAGGCGAGATCTTGACAAAATGCACTCAGAACCGTTGCCGCAGCACAAAACTCAAAAACCTTGTGTCAGATCAGAAATTTCAAATTTGACAAAAAGATGCTTATTAATTGCAAAAATTTTTCAGTAATGGTAGCTGCACTTAAGTAATACTCACACTTTTTAGCATTAATACTTTCAGACATTGCATGTGATGTCGGTGAACTGCTTTGTATCGCAATACCTCAAAAAATGTTATATTGGTTAGTTGTTTAGAAAAATTTAGAAAAACTCGATAAACAATCTTATCTTCATAATAAACTATTACGATTACTATGACCTAAGTCACGAGTAACTATGCAGGTGTAATTTTCAGTTTCGCTGAGTGCAAGCATCGCAAACATTGTATTAATCGCCACACTTAAACGTGTAAGATATATTCGGATTGAAGCCTCGAATTTTT